GCAGTGCTTCCAAGGTATCCATGGCTTGGCTTGAGCTGTGCTACCTAATGCTGCTTTGGCTCATGATTGGACTGAATTGTCTCTCAGATAAGATTCTTTTCTGATTGAAAACTGTGTAACAGTTTTTTTCCCTGGGCCAAAACTAGGACCCTATGTGCTATTTTGTTAAGACTGAAATGCTAAAAGAAGGAAAGATAAAATGTTGGTAATTAAGAAACCTGCAATTCTCCAGCAGGTAAAAGAAAACAATGTGTATGCTTGCAGGCTCTTCCTTGTCTTTTTCTTCCAAAGATGTTTGTCTCTGATATGAAAGTGACAAGCCAGCCCAGAAGGAAAATTCAGCTGAAAAGACCACAAAATGCTGAGTTTGTCTTTGATGGTCAGTTCACCCTAGAGTGCACTTTTGCTTTTAGTAGGTTTTCCATCCTCTCCCAGGCACAGAATAGTACTTATCTCGCTCGATAGTCAGCCATTATGTCTGTTTTATCCATGTACAAAGCACAGGAGAAATAAAATGATAGGCTCCCCGATAAGGAGGATAAACTTTTGAAGTCTACGAATAATGCAATTCCTTTTGGCTGATTGATTTCTGGCAAGTGCAAAGGACATAAACAGCATTTTCTTTTTTTTTTTTTTTTTTTTTTTTTTTTTTTTTTACCCAAACTGAAAGGCATGAATCTGAATGATGGATAACTGCAGTTTTAGCAGAAACACTTTTAGGAGTTACTTTCTGGAGAATTGTCTCACTCTGTCCCAGACACCTGCTTCTATTCAGTATACAGTAGTTCCTCAGATTGAAAAGAAATCTGTGTAGAAGGAGAAAGCTCCCCCCCCTCTACTTTCTGGGTATCAATGGATGTGAACCACTCAAAAAGAAGAGTTTTGTGCTAAGTTAGACAGCTACATTGTTCTTGGGTAGCTTGGAGCAGTGCCAAGGCTGTCATTGCAATACTCCTCATCCCAACCAGCTGACAACAGTCATGGTCCCTCTCCTGCCTCTCTCCCGCCCCTCACTAATGCCAAAGATGGGAAACCTTGGTGCTCTGGTCATGTTACTCCTGAAAGGCCAAATCATGTGCAGTACCATCCTCACCCCTTTGCCACAAAAACATGATCAGACTTTGCTGCAGGTGGGTCTAAAACCTGTCTTGCAATTTAACACTTACAAAGTATTTAAAGAAACTTACCATGCATTTGATGTCTTTGTCCCTCTTCCTTCCCTTCTTGCTTCTATTTACTCTTGCATATGTTTTCCTGTTATGCAGTAACTATTTTGTTCTCAGTGGAAGTTTCAGTGTGTACTATCAAAGTATGTGTCCCACAACACAATGTGGGCTTCTTATGAAGATGGTGAACATTTCTATCCAGAGATATCTTAGCGCATTTCACTCTCCTTTTCTCATCTTCAATTTCCATTATTTTTGCATGATTTTTGTGTTTTAGTGCAGCAATTCCAAGTCTTTCCTTCTGCTCTTACTATGGAGTATGACAAGCTGAGAGAAAATTGCATTTATCTTCCTGATGGGTGCTACAGAGCAGCCAGCAAGAGTAAGAATGCCCCCACATGAGGAAGCAAGAATTAGATGGATTCTGGAAGAGAATGAATCCTCTGATGAAGAGCCTTGTATAAAATTATATGAAGCCAGAAATGATTGCAGAGTTTAGTCTAGAGTAGCTGGAAAACCAGGTGAAGATTGCTTGCAAGATGCTTTTATTACACTAATTTCCCTTCACTTTTAGAATTGTCACTGGGATTCCAGGCCTGTGTAGAGGAGGAATTTCAGCTGTTGTCAAGTACACAGTGTCTTAGAACTATGCAGGCAAAAGGAGAATATCTGCTAGAGTAAGCAAGTAGGAGGCTGGGACTCAGCAGAGTTAAATGCAAATTGCTCTTAGCTGGGAGCAAAGCTAGAACTTCTTTGGAGATGCTGTGGAATGGGAAAATTTTGCTCACCATTTGCCTGAGCTCTGCCCATACATACAGGGACTCTTGCCTTTGCAGGATGAAATTTCCACCTACTCATTCATTTGTTAGCTAAACTTGCCTACATCTGCTTTGAAAAAACAGTTTTAAGTTGTGTATAAAATGCCGGATTGTAAATCTGTGGTGTCTCTTTTTCCTGAGGAATGCTTGAAAAACCTTTGTTTATTCCCTTGCTTTCCCACTAGCCTTCAGTAGGATATTATGGCTTCAAATGGTGTAATGCACTGTAGGCTGTAAAAACAAAAGCTGACTCACTGGAAGTTGCCCCCTGTCAGATGCGTTTTATTTTGCATTTTTCTTGTTTAAATTATTGAGATGGAAATCCAAGAGGATAATTCTACGTACTAAAATGTACTAAAATGATCTGTTCTTCATTTTTATTATTTCAATATTAACATTTCTTAGCCTAGATTTTAGAGAATGATATATTTTCTTAGGTGTCAATACCTGATTCAAAGAAACTTTTGCTGAAAGAATACAATCCTCCTTGAACCCATTTGGCTCTGGATCAGGCTTCAGTTGTTTCTTTCAGAATAAAAATAAAATGTGATTTTCAAACAGAATTTCAGGGAATTTTTGCATAGTTCTAACCTAGCATGGCATATTGCCATTGCCTAAGATCACTGAACTAATTGGAAATCATTCATAATGACAGCAAGAAACAGCACAACTTTTTGATTTCCTTAGTGATATTTCCTCCCTCTTGCTTTCCTCCTGTGAAATAAATAGGCATAAGAGATGTTATTGCCAGAAGAGTGGGTAGATTTGTGTTAATGCCTAAGAGCAAATGTCAAACTATAGAAATGTCAGAGTCTTGTAGGCTTTCAAAGTATATGAACACATAGGTTATTAGTTTGTTATATCTTTTTTTTGAAAACTTTATCAAAATCCTTCTCTGTACTGGGGACAAGTACTATGCTACATGACAATTTCTTCTTCTAAATTTAGCAACATGGCTTTATAACATTAGGCAGGGAAAGGCAAAAGAAAGTTTGTGTGGATAATTTTTCTCTCCTTGAAAAGAATGTCTTTCTGAAATAGTCATACCAAAGAAAAGCTTCAAGCCGTGAGTCATAGCATTAGTGGGTTGAACTATCATTCCATGCAGGAATATGGACATACATTTCCAGGATTACTGACGTGTAGATGTATTATTTGTAATAAATATATATTTTAGGGTAATGGTGCAGCTATAATCTCTGAACATCTGAATTCTAAAGAAAGATTATGACTTGACTGGTAGTGAGACTGACACGAATAAATGTGTTCTTTAAAAAATACTATTTTTTAAAATCACTTAAAATATTTTCTCGAAATACAAAGGACACAGAAACTAGAATTTTTAGAATAAAGCCCATATTCAAGATCTCTACCATACAGATAATCTCTAAGAAGTGGTGCTTCTGGTGCCTTTTACAGAATTTTCATTTTGCATGTACTGCTGTCTGACTTTTTCACATTGATTTCTCTTTTCCTCTTCTGCCTCTGTCCCTTGTTTTCTATCTCTGCCCTTGTTCTCTTTCTTGTCTTTAATTCATGCTTCTGTCCTGCTTCTGCCTTCCACATTTTTTTGCTTGCTCTTTTTTATTTTTTTTATCTTCAGAAGAAAAATTCCCCCTTCCCCTCACCCTGTTCATCTGTTCCTTCGACTTACAGTTTCTAGGATATATCAGCACCACAGGCTATTTCTTCTGAAAAAGGGGTGGTTAAAGCCAGTCATGTTGGTACTCAACATTAACATTTAAACATATTTTCTCACTTCATATAACATTTACCTACTATATCTATGTATTCTTGAAGAATTATCCAAGGGAAACATTTTAATGCTAAGTGCTTTTTTGCCTTTAAAACTGCTCGAGTAGATGAATTAAGGAAAAACATCCATTTTTAACTAAAAAGATGTTTTTCCATCAAAAGTGTCTTTGAAGAATAACTTCAGTTGAACCCTCCAAGGAAGTTGTAGTCCTAAAGAATTACAATTTATCAGTTGAAATATTTCATTCTAGTTTGCTGCAGCTGGTATCATGAAATCACAAATGCAGCCTGAGCATTAATTTCTGCTCAGTAGTGCAGGGTGACTGTCCAATAGATGTGCCATTGGATAATGCAGGCAGTATTGGCAGGGCTTTGGGTGCTCAGCCCCTGAGCCAGGGCACACAGGAATCAGCAGGTGGGTTTCTCTTGCATTCACTGAGTAGCTCTGTCAAAGGCTCAGGGTGGGGGTGTTACTGTGGGATCTCACTGGCTGCTATGCAAAGCCTCTGCAGAGTCACTTTAAAATGACAATAAATTAGAACGGTAGCATTTACAATTTTTGCACAGGCATTAGTGTCAGACTATATATTCTGCTTTGGCTTAGGGAGGATGTTCTTTTATCACTTAAAATATTTTCTTGAAATGCAAAAGACATGGAAACCAGACTTCCTGGAATAAAGCATCAGACACACATATTCACATGCCCCAGTAGGAATGTGAATAAAAGCATGAAGGCTCAGGAATCCAGGGATTAGGAAACATGAGCTTCAGGAAAGTCCTGGGAGCTTTTCATAATGGGTGCTTCTTTGTCTGCTTTATTTGAGGTATGATTAAACCAGCATTGTCTTACTCTTAGGTAGCTACTGCTTTCTGAGAGCGTGCCCAGGCAGCAGGAATTTGGCTGCTTCTGGCTCAACCTCCTGGTTCCCCAAACACAGAATCTACACCCTATCTAAATAATGATTGGATTAGTTTTATATAGGAATTTAAGAAGGTTAATTAATTTAAATGTTTTGTCTATATACTACTGTAGCTCAGAGCTCCTTAACTTGTTCCCTCTCCCCATAGCCTCAATCACAGCAACAGCAACAGCACCTTCTGCTGCCTTGGACCGCCAAAATTTCTTCTCCTTACTAAACACATTAAAATAGATTACACTTTTGTTTTGGTTTTCAAAAGTACAATAATTTTTGTTTCTTAAATATTTTGAAGGTGAATTGTAGTGCAACTCTCATTCATGGTTTATAACAGAAAAGGATACTTGTGGTCAAAGCCATACCATATTCTGAACAGCCACGCAGTCTCAGCTTTGGTTGTACTTTTATCCAAGTTAGATGCACTCTGCAAAACAACCGAATGAATGAAGTGAGAAGCATTTTTATAAAATAAATAAAACATGGAGTTCTGATATTAAAAGTACATGTCAGACCAAATTACAATTAACTGCACCTTTTTTTTTTAATTTAAAAAGCTTTGTTGTCGCACGAATGTCATCCCCATGAATCAGTTCAGGAGAAAATTGGCTCATACAGCGCATTTCTCATTGCTGCACTCATTGGAAGAATGCAGCATTTACTTTTATGAATTATTCCAATTTTTTTAAGCAGTTGAGAAGTGCTATATTCTGAGATCAATAAAATGATATTTTGATTTAATTGCCATTGTGGGATTACTTCAGTTTACTCCTGCAGGATCAGAGGCTGTTTGTGTATGTCTAACAAAATGATTTTCCCAAAGGGATTGAGATATTCTAATAACTAGGAACATCATTTCTCTGTTTCTTTCCAAGAGGAGGGGAACATGAGTTGAATTGACAAGGCTCAAAATTCCCTTTCCATTCTGCAAGCTAATTCTGTGACATGCTGCACAGATAGAGAGGTGGACTATCCTTTTCCTCAGGGTCATAATGAGGGTCACACCCTCAAAAGTGTAAGGTCTAGTTCCAAGGCAACCTGTTCATGGGAACTTTGGAACAACAGGAACATTTATGTCATTGAGTTTTGAATAAAGTTAGACAGAATCCATGCTGTAGCTGTTGTGATTTTGCTAATGTGGTCACACTGAACATGCAAATGCACCAAATAGAACAAATATTATTATTGGGATGTTTCCTTGTTAACTGAATTGAGTATTTTAGCAACTTTTCCCAGTAATTGGGGGAGGGGGCTGAAAGAAGACTGTACTAATCCCTAACCAAGGGATTCTCACTCTTCCTAGCTCTAAACATCTAATGGCACATTTTGGCAAGATAAAGATTGGGAAAAGGGTTGAAACATTTAAGCAGGAAGTGTAATTGTAAGTAAAATCTGTGTTATGTAAGAACAACAAGAACACTGAATAAAGGAGAGGGAAGGACTTGAGTGCACAGGGGAAGAGGAAGAGAGGGACAGGCATGGAAATAAACATATTGTGAAGTGGGCTACTTGTGTGGTGCAGAGGACAGCTTGTTAAAAGCACAGTGAGCTCTGTAAATGGCTTGTATCCTTTGTTTGAATTGTAATGTTGTTGTTGGTTAATTCCTCTTTCCAAACTCATTGCACTCTGGCTTCCTCTTAAGGGGGAAAGGTTTCCTCATTTGGTAATATGAATTGTTCCTATATGAAAGCAGTGGACAAAGAAGTCTACACAAGAGTATAATCCCCCAAGGGTTTTCTGGTCATGATCTGGCCTTCTTTTATTTCCAGTTTGACATGTGTTGCACCTTCCTCCTTTTGTCTATAAAATCTGTGTTGTGTTATCAGCTTTTGCAGTAGTGGGAATCTGGGTGGTTATCTGGAGTTCTGCAGCTCCTTGCAGAAAACAGTACAAGTGATGACAGGAGATGTTGGTGTGAATGTTTCTTGAAAGGCTCTCACAGATCCTTGGATCCTATGATTTTAAAAAGTAACTTTTCACTTTCCCTAGAGTTCAGAGAGGTAAAAGTAGGGGACACAGTGCTCTATCTCTTGGAAAAATTTTCTTTCTGGGAAGGGAAAATGCCAAAATTTCTCGCATCTCTTTTTCCGTATGGGAATTGCCCATATGGAGATTACTCTCATTAGTCTTTGCAATAAATTCACCAACCAGCTGGTAGATTAAACTGATGAGAACAGTGTAAGTAAATTCCTTATTATTCTTACAGAGGTGTAGGGACAGTCAAACTATGCAGATTAGTTTGATGGAGATGGTATTGATAAGGGGTTTGCAGGCTATTTAGCTTTTTTCTGAGATCAATAGCATATCTACAAATTTTTTTCTGAAGTGCTTGTAGAAAATATATTCTTACCTTCTCTCAACTAAAGTTAACATTGCAGAATTGGAGATACATGAACCATCTGAATGAAATATGCTATTGACTGTCTTTTTAAGAGGAATTAATTAAATAGCTCACTGCCATAAAGCTTTTGCCTTTTTTAAATAGACCAACTTTGTAATTCTGCTTAGTGATTGTGTCCTGCATTGTGCTTTTCAGAGTTAGCTTTTGGTGTTTATACACTGAATGTACATGATATGCAGCAAAGCAGTTTGTTTCTACATACTATTTTCTATACAATAATATATATTATTATAGTATGTATTACACAATTTCTTTCAGAACTAAGTTATGACAGTCCCTCAATAAGTAAATGAGCATGAATATGATGCTACTTTCTTTTGTTCTTGCTTATGCTGTGATAATTATTTAATGATAAATTTAAGGGTGGCAAGACAGAGTTGAGACTGAGATATGCTTTTGATGGATCATGGTATGGTCAAGTGCAGATGTTAATTATACATGAAAAGGCTCTATACCTTTTTCAGGGAAGGAGCTCTGGGTTCCAGGTCCTACAATTTGAACTGGAATTTTGTGCCAACTGACTGACAAAATTATTGGTTCAGGTAGCCCAAAATACAACATAATCAGAAGTTTAGAAATACTGTGTGCATAGAATTATTGAATAAATCAAATGTCTTCACAGAAAACTGAATTTTTGGGAGGCAAAGGAAGGAAAGAAGGGAGATAAAGATGAAGAGGTAAGGAAGGAAAAGGGTTTTGCAGTCATATAGCTGGCATTGCATCTGACATAGTACCCATGTGGTGGAAGGTCTTTAGGGTTTATTCTACCTCTTAAAAAAAATCTAGATATGGTTATAGACATGGATTGTGGGGTCACCACAGCAGGGTACCCATGTCCTGGTAGTTATAGTGGTCACAGGGGAGTTAAACTCAAATCTTGGTAGCAGACCTTGTAGCTTTCCCATTCTGGCTGAGTACTCTGACTGAACAGGGAAAAGCCTAGAGGTTTCTTTTCCATCAATTTTTGCTCTCTTTTAAACATCTTATTCTTGAAGGTATTTTGTTCTTATTTCTGGTACGATCTTCCCTGCAGCTTCAATGACAGCACTGAGAGTGGGCACATGGTTTAAAGCTGATCTGGGCAAGAGCTTTACCTGGCAGTGGGAGGTACTGGCACCTGGCCCGTTATTTGTGCAGGGATAGATGTGTAGGAAAAGCAACTGCTTTCACTGTGAGAATACAGTAACATAAGAAGTGACAAAAGGTAAACTAAATAAAAACATCATTTTGGAAATAAAGAGAAAGAAAAGAGAAACACAAGGGAAGAAGAGGAATGAGAGAGAGGTATGAGATGAAAAAGAAAATTAGAAGAAACAACTGGACTTGAATAATTATGATAGGTACTGAGCTAAAACAGTGAGTGCTACAGAGAATGCAGCAAAGGTCTGAATTATGAAAAGATTGAGATGTCAAATATAAAAAAAGTCTGAAAAATGAAAATAAAGTAGTATGGGTGGGGGGAAGAATAATCAGAACAGCAAAACTATTTTCCAAGGTATAATATACTGCTGTAAGGAATGCTGAAGTGGATGTGACAGGGCATGAAAAGTGTTATATTTATTTACACCTTGTGTGTTGTCTTGCTCAGTTTTGTCAGAAGAGATAGGTGTTAATTCACAGAGCACAGTTGGGACACTGGGTTTGTTACTGTTGTAAATAAATATTATTATTTTCAGTAAAAGAATGAGAAAATTAAATGCTTAGTGGCCTCTGAAGAAATCAGGTTCTTGCAAAACATGCATTCAGTCAATTTTATGCTGCATTCCACATTCCCTGATCTTTGGTAATTCATGAGTGCTGAAAAGCAGAATGTTTTTGCAGTTCTGTATCTCTATTCTCCAATCAAGAATAGCCTATGGTTCTGTGTCCTGCTCTTGTTCAGAATTTGGACAGAGGCATTGCAGGAATTTCTACCAAGGTGCTTAGGAAAGTGAAGTTAGCATGAGTCCCCTCAGAAAAAATGGTGCAATGAAGGGTTATGCTAAACCTTTAAATAAATGAGTAGTGACTGGGTTGCAAAATGAAGGATATGGTCAATGTGAATAATATTTGTTTTCCTTCTTTTAAAAGAAGCATTAGGATAATTAGGCACCCCAATCCTACTTGTTACAATGAAAATAGAGATTCACCTTATGTGCCTTTAGATACCTGCAAATGTGTAAATGTTAGGAATACTCAGTACATAAGATATATTAAAGTTTTGCCTAATTATATCTTTAATGTATTTTCAAATGAATATAGTATCTTACAGCTTCCTCAGCTTATCTTCTACATTTATGTTACTGTTGGATGATTTAAATTTTAGTTCCAGCTGTGTTGTCTAAAGGGTACATGGGATGGTTATCACCAGCATTAGGCTCTTGTTGGATTTTTGCTTTGGTACCTTGTCAGCTGTCCTGTGACTTCTCTGCAGTGTCACTGCTGTTCCACTCACTGTGCTGAGCCAGAGGACATGTCTGTGCATTGACAGATTTCCTCTGCTGCTGCAGCCAGTGCTGCATTTGAAACTGCACTATATATATATATATATATATATATATATGACAGAAAATGGAAGGGCACAGAAGAACAGCTGCAGCTTGTTCAGAAGCCCTCTTTAGAGGTTTCAAGTTCAGAATGTACTTAGGCTTCCATGTGAAAAATAACTGGAAAATATTTTCATACACCTGACCTACTAGAATTGAACATTACACATTCTCATTTTTAATTCTGGGGGATTAAATATTGTTCTGAGATGTCTCATTTCCACAGATGCAGCCATGATTTGCCAAACATTGAACACTTGTAAATTCAGCACATATGTCCAAAAGCCTGACATACCTGGCTTGCAGCTTTAGCTTCATCTTCATCTGGATCTACGCCAACTCTGTAAAAAAAACCCAAAAAAACAAACCTGAGGACATACGGTAATGATCTGCTGTATATTAGACAACTTTGAGTGTAAAAATGTTTCTTGTGTCAATCATTTTCTACTTGGTGAGAAATGAGGAGTAGAGCTGGGAAAGCATTAGGATCACTTTTTAAACCTTTTAAGGAAGTTCTGAAGTTTTCTAAAAATTTAAGATTCCTTGCAACTGCCTCTCCTAACACCTGAGACTAGATCTTTATCTTGGTTCTGAGCCACCTCTGGGGAGAGACATTCAAGCTGTTAATCTGTGCTAGGAAATCGCTAATTGCTGATAGAAGAGCAGTGCCGAGGTGCTGCAGCTGTTAATGGAGGATGGGATTACAGAGCTCCAGTGTTTCTTGACATTATGGATCTCTTGAAGCACTTGGAAAAGGCTTTACTTGGCACACCAAGTACAGGGAAGCAACCCAGAAGGGAGAGGAGACTGCAGTGAGTGATGTGCAAGGTGATGATAAGCTGGGTGGCATTTTCCCAGCCCATATGGATGGGAAAAAATAAAATTGGTTGTTTAAAGGGTGTGGTGGAAGAATTGACATCTTTTGATTACAACTGATACTCAGACCTGAGGAGAAATGCAACTGCAAAATGTTTTAGGTTGAACAGCAGAGGCTTGTGCTGATGAAAGACACAAGAAAATATGGAAAACAATGAGGGATGATAAATAATGTACCCAAATCTGAAGCCCACAGCTAAGGTGACCAACATCCCCCATATACCTCACAAGTTCTCACATAGTTGCAGGTCCACCAAGCTAAACCAGTATTTACTGATGCAAAGGAAATACAGCCTTTCACTAGATATTAATTTAAGGCCACTTTACTGGTTTTCTGATAGTCTTCATTCCTGAGTATAGTTTTGCTTTTGGAAAAAACATGTCAGATTATACTTTAAAATAATATTTAGTATTAACAATTACATACCTCAGCATTCTTTCCTGTGAATATTATGCATAGCTGGAGACAATGACAGGAACTATATGCAAAGTAGATGCTTTTTATATGTAAATACTGAATGGACAAAAAAATAAAGACATTTCTTTCTATCATAGTTCTAGATGTTCAACAAACCTGAGTCCTTCAGGCATAAATATTTCTATCTTTTTATTAAAAAATAACCATCCTGGTGGTGACTCAACGAGGAGACTGAATGAATAGCAGATTTCTTTTCTTTTTCTCTTGGCCTTTAAATTGCAAGGAAAAGCTTCTGATGACACTAACCCTATTGATTAGTTTGGAATAAAGTAAGTAAGGTATATCCATTTCATTAAAATGGAAACATTTACATATGAAAAAGAAAAGAATCATTACCCAGATGTTTAACCAGCTATCTGACAGTGGGTTTATCATTGCCATGTGCACAACAGAAGTGTCCAGTAAAGCAGAGCAGTGTGGGACAGCCCTGCCCTGCAGAGGGTGCAGGGTAAGGACAGCAGCTGGAGTGAAGGCTAAAGCAGGGCTCAAATACCAGTGCAGTGGTCCCAACCTCATAACCCAGGTGAGAATCAGAATCTGTTTCCTGAGCACACAGGCACTGTTTATTAGGCTGTGCTGATTTGTGAGGTGCTTTCACCAGGGCCTGGCCAAGATCAAGCCACCAGGAGCACATTGGCTGGAGGACTGCAGAGCTCTGCAGGTAGAACAATTCAGCATGTGTACATGAGAGAGGTGCAGCTACACGAGAAGGCAAGGCTACAGCAGACTTCCCAACACTTCATAATGAGCTTAACTTGACCTCAAAAAAGGTCAGCTCTGGGACAGAAGTAATTTAGCCTTCACGCAGTTCTCACCTTACTGGAGCTGAGAAACCACCACTTCTGGCTGACTGGGTGTGTTGGAGTTGTGATGTCTTATTAGAGACTGAGCTAAGAGAACAGAAGACATTTCACCCTGGACTCAAAGGACTGTAATAGCAAATGGGAAAAGGGAGAGGCCATGGGGAAGATAGGACCAGAGTTTCTGGCTGTGATATTGATTTAGTAGCAAGGATATAACTAATAGCTAATTCCACTGACAACAGGAATTAACTGGTATTGTAAATCCAATTTTTTTTTCTGAGTTCTGCAGAATTTTTCATGTGCTGAAGCTTCTCTGCATCTATAATTTCTCATCCTTATAGCTACAGAGACAGCTAGACCTTTTGCTTTGTTTATTTTGCAGACAACAGCTTATTATAATATGGCACAAATGAAGATTTTCACATAACATCCTAACAGAAGTATTACATTTAAAGCCAGAAAAAAACCAAAACAACAATTAATAAGGAAATCAGACAGATTTTTCATGTATGAAAAAGAAAAGGAGGCTTCTATGTCACATGAATTCACAGAGCCTGAGCTGACACTATTTTTGGTCTGTTCGTTGCCCTGATTTAAAATACATGGTCAGATGTAATTGCTGTTTTTATCATGGAATAGTATCTTACTACTGGGAATTAGTCTGGATACCACAATATTACCAAGTGATTTAAAGTCTTGTGGGAAAAGAACCAAATTATTCTTTGCATTATATGGGAGATTTCTTTAATGCATTAAAATAGCAATAAATTTCTGTAATTTTATGAAGTATGAGCTAAGCAAACTTAGTCTAGTCAGTTCTGAAATTGTGGCTAATTATTTCAAATCCAAACTTAGGCTTGGAAGCCAGGCCCCTAGCATTGAAAATCATGGTCTAGAATTAACTCTGATACACTTGACATGAAGTAGAATGCTATTTTTAAATATTAAATATTGAAATAGCAAACTATACCAAATTATATGAGACAGTCAAGATGACTGAACTTAATCATAGATATGCACTTCAAGTTTACAGCCTTGACTTCTTCAAAAGATCTGCTAGATCTAATGCTGTTGCCAGTAGAATCTGCAAGCTTAAAATACGTATGAATTATTATAACTGCCTCTAAGAAATATCCTGATAATTTTGTACAAATGTCTTTCCCCTTTTAACATTCTCAGGTTTCCATTCCTGTGAGAACATCTAATGGATGCTCAGAAAGATATTTTCTTAGTATTTTTTCTCTTTTCTTGCTATCAACTTTTGTCTCTATTCTGTTGTCTTTTACTTCTTGAGGCCTCTCTTCTGCCTTTTTGTCCCACTTTCCCTGGCTGCCCTCTTTTCCTTGTTTGTCTTCTAAATATTGTATGCTTTTTTTCTGCCTGTTTTTGCATCTTTTTATTCTATACATTAAACATTAGGATGATTACTCTTCCATGAAGACAAATGCAAAGACTTCTTAATCAGTTTTACACTGCAGTGAGGTTTACTTTATGTATTTAGAGAGGCTTTAGTAATATCTCAGGTCCAAATGCTCTAGATAGGAAGGAAATCAAAAGTGTGACAGCTTCTCTGTGTTGTCCTTTCTGGGTTTTTTTGGGTGGGGGATTGGGGTGTGGTAGGGCATGTGCTGTGGTGGTTTTTTGTTTTTAAATAAGGATTAGATCAAAACCTGGATTCAGAGAATGCTTTGAGTTGCTATGCTCAAAATTTGGAAGGGAAGCTTTTGACTTCTACCAGCCTCTAGCATTTAGGCTTAAGAATTGCGGGGAATTGTGCATTAATCTGCACAAGTACCCCTTGCAGAGGGATGGGATTTAAATCCCTGTGTGCTATCAAGTGCATCATTTTTTTAGCAAGAGTCACAAGGAATTTGTCACTGAATACAAAGCAGTTGAATATAGCATCTTTTCTTATGTGGTGTGAAATGAAAATGGATCAAAAGATAAATCCCAAATTGTCAGGGGAACCAGTAGTAAGAAATACACACCCAATCCCTAGGAATACTGAATAGTAAATCACTACTCAGGCATTGTAAACTTTTAATTCCCTCACATCACCACAAAATCAACTGTGTAGGATAAAATCTCTGCTTTCTACAGTGAAGCCACCAAAAAAACCTGTATAGACTCACATCTTCATGAGGATCTAGGCACACAGAGCAGAACTGTTGGTGTCTATACTTACAAGTGTGATTCTCAGCTCTCCCTCACTTTAAGTGCTGGGAAATTTTCAAATAGAGACATTTCTCTGAAATGTGAATTCTAATTACTGAAATGATCCTTCTGGGGCTGTGTAGGCTTTCTGTACTGGCACAGAGAGCCTGGTTCATGCAAGTTAAATCTCACTTGCAATCCCACCAAGTCTGCTTTGCAATTCCCACAGACTCACACGGGTCAGTTGTGCCCCAGCTGAGGCAGCCAGAACTGTTTTTATTTGAAAACTTGTTCTGAGGACATGTAATTGATTCTATCTATTTAAAGCCCCTAGAGAAATTGTTTATATTTGTATTACTTAATGCAGCTAATGATTTAATAAACAAAAGATCAAGCTTGGGAAAGAGAAATATCTCCTAATGCAAGTAGCAATCTTCCCCTGGTCTAAGTGTAGGGTGGTAAATGTGTACCTGAAGGAACAGGAGGGACATCACCGAGCTGTCACCTAAGGGTCAGGATTAGCCAAGTGTCCTCTATATCCTTTTCTACATCGGGGGGGAACAAAAGCAGTGCAAGAGGTGAAAAGTCTGGCATCTCTATCCATTTCTGGCCTCATACTATGAAATGGGGATAACAATACCTCCTTCACCCTGTTGCTTGTCTGTTTTGTGTATTTGGCTTCTAAGTACACATCCTTCATTATGCTTGTCTAGCACAGCTGTGATTTTGTTTAGAGCTCCAAGAGTGCTGCTGTAAGTTAATTAATAACAATATTGGCTTCTTTGCTTGTCAAAGATTTCACTGGAAGAACTCACCTTGTCAGTGGAATCACCTCAGCCTTCCTTCCACTGGCTGGCTGGCTGTAACTAAACCAGCCTTTAAGCCTCAGCTTACATCTCAAAAGCTACACATCCCAGGAAGGGTTTTTTGAGTAAGTGATTTAGAACCCAATTTTCAAGGATGGCCATTAAATGGCATTTGCAACAGGAGTCTTGAATATTTTTGCATGAATAAATCTCAAGCTTGTAGC